TACAAACAAGGTGAAGACAAGCGTAAGTTCTCTATATATTTGTTTCTTCCGGATGCCAAAGACGGACTTCCAGCTCTAGTAGAAAAAATTGGCTCCGAATCCGGATTCTTAGAGAATCACCTGCCTAATCGACAAGTTAAAGTTGGTGCATTCAGCATTCCAAAATTCAAGATATCTTTTGGGTTTGAAGCTTCTGAAGTCCTCAAGGGACTGGGATTGGTATTGCCTTTTTCTGGTGATGGACTCACTGAAATGGTTGATTCTCCCACTGGTCAGAACCTTTATGTTTCGAGCATTTTCCACAAATCATTTATCGAGGTAAACGAGGAAGGCACGGAAGCTGCAGCTGCAACTGCTGGTGTTATAAAACAAAGGAGTTTGACAATGGAGGACAATTTGGATTTTGTGGCTGACCATCCATTCCTGTTTGTTGTTAGAGAAGATATGACTGGGGTGGTACTATTTATTGGGCAGATTCATAATCCCCTCTCCTGTTAATTGAAGCAACTGTTCAATCAATGGATATGTAGGTCCATGTACCAACACTGTTAAACCTCTTACATGTTTGTTTGGAATTTGATTTCATATCTGGAGACGATGGATGAAGAAACACAGCATTTTGATGTACATTATTTTGCTCGTATAATTGGTATACTGTATATCCTTCCATGGAGAATTTTTGACATGTTTTAGATTCATTTTGTTGCAAATGAAAAGGCTAAACAACAAATAATATATCCTAACGAGTGGAAAATGCATGAAATTTTTTTTAATGATTCGACTCCTTGAACAGGGCATACTCCAACAAGGCCATTGCTCAAATACAAGAAACCTCTTTCTCAAATGTCAAGAGGGTAATTTAGGCTAATATCGAGGCAGCTACAGCTTGTGAAGTTTTGATGGAAGAGACATAACGCCAAAAGAGATGTCACAGTGAAGCTAACAATCAGTTGATGTTGCAGATTACCCCACTTGATAACAAGAGATATTGAGTGCTTTCAGAGGAGTTGCGGTGCAGCCTTGAAGGACTACGGCCTATGCCTGAGGTGTGATGGCTAAACATTGCGAGGGTGTGGCCCAACATTTGGGCAGGCAATGATCGAGGGAACTGATTGACGTTAGCATGAGAAGAATGCAGCGGGTGGAGGCTGTTCAAACATTGAGACCCCATTCGTGCAACTCTATCATGGACAATGGGGTGGATTTGGTTCACATAAAGATTATGACGCTGTTCAGTTTTTTACATTGAGGTCGATGAAAGTTTACCAGATGGCACTGATCCATCGAGACATTTGAAATATAAAATATTTAGAGAATTTATGCCGCGGATTTCAGTACGAAACGTCTTCGATACTATAAGAACAATGAATGAAGATACAAACTAGGGCATGAAGGGCACGTGTGGCTAGTGGTGTTAAATGGATCAAGTCGAGCACCATGCAAGTCGGCTCGCGTCCACCTGTTGAGTGAGACAAGTTGCTCACCACTCGTCAATTTCTTTGTTTTACTTAAAATTATTTTAAGAGTTACCACTCACTTTGTGTTTTTTATTGTTCTGATGATGATAATAATAATAATAATAATAATAATAATAATAATAATAATAATAATAATAATAATAATAATAATAATAATAATAATAATAATAATGAGATTTGTTTTTCTAATTTACATATTCAAATAAATATTCTATTAATGGATAATTTATCGATGTCATACAATTCACAACAGCCACTAAAATCACCAAGGCTAACCTTAGCATAAACTAAGGGACAATGGCCATGAAGCTATATAATAATAATAATAATAATAATAATAATAATAATAATAATAATAATAATAATAATAATAATAATAATAATAATAATAATGAGATTTGTTTTTCTAATTTACATATTCAAATAAATATTCTATTAATGGATAATTTATCGATGTCATACAATTCACAACAGCCACTAAAATCACCAAGGCTAACCTTAGCATAAACTAAGGGACAATGGCCATGAAGCTATTAATGTTAATTACCGTTGGAAAATTTTCAAAAAATTGGTGTTATTGGTTTGTTTCATCTTCAATGAGATGATGTGAAAATTATGTAAAGTTAATATAACTTATAAATTATAATGTAGACTGTAATATAGCAAAAGGAAAGTACAAAAACACGTGAAAAACAGTCGAAGTAGTGAACAAGTGTTTCGTGCACCAGATAGTCCTTGACATATTCTTGACTGTTTGGATGATTTTTCTCACTTTAAAAAATCTGAAAATGTAATTCAAATGAAGTGGTTCAACTTTTTCGCCATTTTATTCAAATTCAATCTTTTTACGATCGATTGATGTTTTTCATCTGAAAGCAATCCCTGGCATAGACATTTGAGACTCTAAATCTAGGAATGAAGGTTCAATATCCATCATCACAACCTCCAAAGGTTCGGAACTTCAAGTAATACCTATACACGAGGAGAGCACTATTCACACAAAAGTTGTTCATATTTCAATTTTCAAATATTAAAATTCTTCCATCCAAAGTCCAACCTAAGACATCTATTATTAAATTTCATTTATAAAATATCATCCAATACATTTTTAACATTCTGCATTGTAAGTTGTTGGATTGCTGCATTTTGTGATGTGAGCCCATTTTCTTAAGGCTATTGAATTGAGCCCAAATAAATGGCCCGGTATCATGACCTGCAAAGGAAGAATCTAGAAGGCTAAAATTATATCTCTAAAACGAGTTTTTTGGCCATAAGGAGCGTTTTTCTTGGATCAATGACAAATGGCCAATCGATGGACGTTGGATCTTTATCTTTCATATAAATAGGATGCCTCAGATTTTTAGGGTTAGCTTTTAGTATTCTGAGGGTTTTTTGGCTGAGTGTCGTTCTCTCTTCTTTGTTTCTGATCTTGATTTTTCCTCTGAAATACTGAGTGTTATTTTGAGAGAATCTGTAAAGAAACTTTTACGTGAGTTTCTATTAAGGGAAGATTGAGTTGTTTCTCTGTGATCTAGAACTGAGTGTTCTGTAAATTGTACTTTGCCTATTTGTGACCGATTTTTAGTGGATTCGAGCTTAATCATTTATGGATGCTCAACGGGGGACTAAGCGTTAGAAGTGGTCGCTGAACTTCCGGGACCTTTGGCCGTATTTTCTGATTTGTTTTGAGAAAATCTTGATTTCTGCGTTGAGTATTTTTTGGTATAAATTCGATTCTGAAACTACAATGGTATTAGAGCTTGAAATTTTTTGCTTAAATTCAGTTTTCTCAAAACCTAATTTCTGAAACTTGAATCTCAAAGGGGGATTCTCTTGGCCTAAAGAAAATGGGCAGATCTGAAAAAAATTTGCCAACATTCGAAAAAAAAATTTGGGTTGCCTTTGTTATTATTTTTATATATCTTCTTGGAGTTCTTTCTTCTTTCATCCTACAACATTTTTGTTGGTAGCTTTTAAAAGAAAAGGAGTCTGGTTCGACTTGATCTACTCTATATTTTCCTTTGTCTAGGTTTCCTTAAGAGAACCCTAGAATCTGAGGGAATCCAGGGATCTTTCGATTCAAGAAACCAGAATTTTCGATTTTTTAATTCTTATTAGTTTAATACTGTGTGTATTTTTATAACTTGAATTCATATTCTCGTTTTTTTTTAAAACTATTGGGTGATATTAACGGTGTGATATTTTTTTTTTTTTTGGCTTCGTGTTCAATTAAGAAATATCTCATCACATGTACATGCTCTTGTGAAGGTATACATGTTGAGAACTTTCCTTCTGCTTACTTAGTGTAAGTATATTTTTTGGCCCTACAATATTTCTGCATTGTATGCTATTTGGGATCCTTGTTGTTAGATCTTTCTACATCATGTTTGACATATACTGTATTGACTTGCGTGACAAATTATTGTACATATCACACTTGAGCACAATTTGGATATTGTTGCTTGCTATGAATTCAAAAGTAGATATTCAAATTTAGGATGGCAAAGGAGACTTTAGTCTCTGACGCCAGAAAATTAAAGCCTTACTATTACAATTAAAATGTGTTAAAGCTGTTGATGAATATTGGCCTGAAAACCTACCTAAAAATAGAAAAATTGAACAAGATGAGCTAGCTTGGAGTACTATGTTCTTACACTTATCTGACTCTGTGATTAGAAAAGTAGGAAAAACTAAGACTGCTGCAGAATTATGGACAGCCTTAGAAAAACAGTACCTAACTAAGACTACCAAATAAATGTTTTCTATGGGGGCAATTCTTTAGTTTTAAGTTTGATCACAATCTTGATACAGAAGAAAACATGAATAGATTTAATAAGATCACACAAGAACTTATAAATTGTGAAGAAAGGATCTCAAATGAGCAAAAGGTAGTAGGCCTGCTAAAAGCCTTAGGGGACAGAAATGCCTTGGTATCTGGTAGGAGTAACTTGACAGTTGAAATTATCCATAGCTCTCTTCTGAATAAGGAGCAAGAATTGAAATCTGAACATAAGGAGGTATTTTATGTTGAAAATGCCGCTACAAATCAGAAATCTCAAACTAATGGTGTTAGTAACTTTAGTCAACCTAATCACTACAAGGATAGAAATTTTGTAAAAAGAAAATGGGTCAATAATAGTAAAGGAAAGGATAAGAAATTTAATAAGACCAAGACAAAAAACAAAAAGTGCTATTATTGTAGGAAGTTAGGTCATTTTATCAAAGATTGCTTCAAGAAAGCCATTGACCAGAAAAATAATCTCAATTTTGAGATTGGGTCATCGTC